ATGAGTAATACTTGATGTCAAACCAAATTCATTACCTTCCAGAGTCGAACAGCTCACTCAAAACTCCCTGTTGATGGTGGTACAGATGAAGGTGAGATTTTCTCATTTGCCGTTGGGATAACAAAGAAACTTCTATTGTGGAGTAACCTGTATTATTTTTAAACGTGAAACTGTGCCCTGCAAAATTTCCACCTAATGAGCCCCACTTTTGCCTGATCTTTCCATCGATAAAAGAAGAAGAAGAATTGGTGTGCAGAATGTGATAATATCAATTTCAACAATGCGAGTGTCAATGCGTCTAGCCCCAACAAATATAATCAAAGAAGCATAAAAAGTAGAGGATGTTGCGGCTTCGTATTTGACTTTAAAAATACAATGGAATTCCAGAATTCTATTGGGCCAAAATTGTTAATTTAAAGCAACAGAAGAATGATTGTTTTCAGTGTTTGGTCTTTGGATGTTTAGTGGACTTGTCGTCTGGATGTGCTCAGTAACGCACGAGGCAGAATACTTTTTATCAAGAATTGAGTTGATTGTGCCCAAATGGTTACTTTATTCTGAATTTTACTTCTGGAACCTCACGAAGCATGCACTGCATGGACCTATTTTGTTCATGGACTACCTTTGCTTCTTTGACAGGATGCGTTTACTTTGGGGTGAAGAAGAGGAAGACTAAGTAGATGGAGAAGTGAGTTTTTGCTTTTTGTTTCAATATTTATTGTCTGATTATAGGCGGCATTGGCAAAGGTTCTTGAAGTGATGCAAAACCTGACCCCCCCCCCCCCAATGATATGCTGGGTGGGGAGATTAGACCCAAACCCGAGTGGGAATAATCGTCGATTTGGGTTTGGATTTCAATCGAAAGTTCTCTTAGTCATGCTGCTTTTATTCGTGGCAGTAAGGATGTCGTACATTTTTTCATTTGAAGAAAGGAACTATTTTACGAACCACATGGGGTTTTGAGTTTGTTTATATTTCTAAATGTGACTATTATGGAGAATTCGTAGGGGACTGTATGTTTGGCGGATTGGAGCAACCACTAAATATGGAGTATATGGTGGGTAAAAAGAAACAGTGGTAATCCCTGTTTCTTACATATGCTCCTTCTCGTTTCTTCGGATATAAGGTGGTCTTGCTAACTACTGGCATACTTCACTTTGTCTACTTTTCTCTAAAAAACAAACTTGAATCTATAGTGGACATATATTTATTCAAAATGGCAGGTTTTTTATAAATATCATTAGCCCTTTAGCTGACTTCTGGCTTCACAGAGGGGAGACACATCAAAGTGAGAAAAATGCGAGAGGAGGGACAGAAGAGTGATTCACAGATGTAAGAGAGACACAAAGGTAGAGAAAAGGTAAGATGAGTATTGTGGAGTGGTGTGATATGACATAGTCTCGGGTCATAGTAGTTAGAAGTCAATTGCCGGTTTATAGGCTTTTTTCCCGTATGAGTATACGTAGCCCAGTGTGCACCACGTGGAGGTAAGTCTATCGCACACCTTTCCAGGGTGCACCACGTGGAGGTAAGTCTATCGCACACCCACTTGGCTCTCCCCTCAAATTTCAACCCTACACGGATGGGCGAATCTCAGCGACATTGTCGATGTGAAAATCCCCTAGTATTAAATTTATTTTGAAACGGGCTAGCCACATCAACAATATTGTGTATATTCTTGCAGTGGGTCACTTACTTGGAGATTAGTTAGTAAGATTCAATTGAGTCAAGCAGTTTGTATACTAGGGGGAGTTGAGAGGGCCATCGATAATAAACTGGTGGGCTGCAGCACAACCAGTTTATTGGATTTAAGGTATTAATATATTATTTCGCTATTGAAGATAGCATAAAGTACATTGAAAGAAGGGAAGAAATAGTCCACCCCTGCTTTTAATGTTAAAATTTAATTTAATGAAAATCTGAGTAGGAAACTTGTTAACTCCATTCACATGTAACACAAGAGTAATGTGGGAGCCATGTGGAAATGTTTCCTGATAGACGATGGGAAAGTACAATGACTAAGTAGATAAGGACGGAAGGAGAAGACCTCTGAAAGATAATCCTCTAAGCCTATCATACTCTAGTCTCGATCACAGAAACACACATGAAGTTAAGGGATATTTGAAATATCATGTACGTAATAATATTGCCATTTTTTGCTTTATTTCAACCATCCCAATATGACTTAAGAAATCATCAAAATTTATAGCGATTTCCATATGATCTAAATCTGTATAGATATATACGATCGTTCTCCCTTAGACCAGCCTTCGAGGTATACTTTCAGTAGTAGTAGTGGGCTCTGAAGAATGATGTTTATAGATATATTGTTGAAGGCGCATTTTATGGGAAAATTTTGAGTTCTTTGTGCTGATCAATTTAGTTAGTTTACGACTTGAATAAATGGAATGCTGCGAGGCAAGCAAGTGGCCTCACAACTTTTCAACATGGTAAACGTCTAAATACATCGGAGTGGAGCTGATTTGGAGGGAGGAAGAAGGCCAAAATTTGAAGCGGGATTGCAGAGAAGAGGGTGGTAGTGGGAGCCAGTGTTTCGAGACCAGCCAACTTCATCTGAGCACTGAAATTACCAAAACAATTTAGAGTTCAAATTGCAGTTTTTCCAGACTTTGCCATTATTTGCTTCAACCAGTGCTTCGTTGGAAAATCCGGGTTACAAGTGCTCATTTGTTTTGGTACCATCATCCCCTCATTTAGGTCTTGCAGCACACATTAGCCGCACAGTCGGCAGACCATTTTGTAGCTGTTATGATCGATCTACCTTCTAGTTCTTCACCTCTAGCGTACATTTACAAATTTTCAAGACACCCGGAAATCAGAAAGTTTATAAGTTGACCTCAAATGAGTCGTATTCTGAAATAGTACGAAGTGCTTTAGGAGAGAGTTTGAAGCAATTTGTTGGTTATAAGTATGTTGAGCAAATGTACTTTATTCACTTAACTTATATTAATTTGTGGTGCAGATTAACCAATGAGTGTCCTTATTCATTCTACTCCGACTTCTAGAATGTCGCTCACCTTCGGGGTCTGCTGACATGACATCATTCACGTTACCATCACCATCAACATTGATTATTGACGTTATTAAAGGCGCTATTTAGGAATAATTTGGTGATCTAATTTCTATTACTTTCAAATCGTAGTGAAAAGGTTGAAGACAAAGTAAGCATTAAATGCATTTAGGTGGCTAGATTCTGTATTATGCTAACCTGTTACCGAGTGAAGTTTCAAATTTAAATTTGATGTAGGAGGTACAAATTTCACTTTAATTGTGATTGATTATCTCAGTCGCGTGTGTTCCTATTCTAGCCGTTGGTATTTCCGTTGCTATAAATTGTTATTATTTATTTTTATCAAATGAAGGCTTTATGATAGTTATCATTGGCATTTTAGTTGATTTCGGGTTTTGTAGAGGGAGGAATTTCAAAGTCACAAGAATTGGAGGGTTGGGGGCAGAACAGGAGAGTGATTTACAGATGTAAAAGAGACAGACAGACAGACAGACAGACAAAAAGGCAGGGAAAAAGGAAAGGTGAGTACTGGAAAGGAAGTGGTCGAATATGACATACAGTGGGGTCATGGTAGTTTGAAGTGAGAAGTCAGCTTCCGGTTGATAGATTTTTGCCGTATGAGTACACCTTTACCAGGGTGTACCACGTGAAGGTAAGTCTATCGCACTCCCCACAAATTGCCATTTGGAGAGGTAATGATTAAGTAAGCTTTCTCTCTCGTAGCAACTGCTTAATAAATAAATATTCAGAATGAAGTCCACAGGGGGAGATGGAGGGTGGACTAGTGAAAAGGTAGGGTCTGCTTAAGTTGTTGTTGACGTAGATGGATAGGAGTAGGAATCAGTCAGTTTACCGGATCAGGAAAAGTGAAAATAAAAATTTTTAACGAAATTTGCTAGAATATAATGCCTCATTAAAAGTCAACGCATTTTTTGAAAATTATATTACTATGTTCCCAATTAATTCGGATCCCAATGCAATTTAAACTTAATATGAAATTAACCATACCTTCTGGTAATCTAATCTTCTAACACGCTGTTACCCTTTACAAGTCAACAAAGCACACATGAATCATTATTGTTATGTGTGCTGTGAATAATGAAAAATGGATTATTATATAAACTCGAAGACAAATTAACCGAAAAAATAAGTTTGTACTAATGACAATCAGATATATATTTTATTCAATTTAATGTGCGAATTGCGCAATGACTTATCTAAACGTGGTGCACCCTGAAAAACGTGTACTCATACAGCAAAAACATCTATCAACCGGAAGTTGACTTCTCACTTCAAACTACCATGACCCCACTGTATGTCATATTCGACCACTTCCTTTCCAGTACTCACCTTTCCTTTTTCCCTGCCTTTTTGTCTGTCTGTCTCTTTTACATCTGTAAATCACTCTCCTGTTCTGCCCCCAACCCTCCAATTCTTGTGACTTTGAAGTTCCCCCCTCTGCAAAACCCGAAATCAACTAAAATGCCAACGATAACTATCATAAAGCCTACATTTGATAGAAATAAATATCTTGTTTTCTTGACATTGTCTTATTTTGCTACATTGTTGTTATTTTTTCCAGCAGTCCTACATTCTGCAAAAAGCACAAGTTACAGAATAATATAATAGAGAAAATGGTGTCCGAGATAGAAATATGTTTTGAAGATATATGGTAATTACTGTTTTATTACAAAGTGACTCTATGAATAAATAAATATGAACGCATCCTTAAATATATGATCATATATTGAAGTTTCGATTAATGAAAATTTGACATCAAAATATATTAACTAAAAATTCCGTTCATTTTTATAACCTCTATTATTTGCGAAAAATATTACTAGTAATAATAAATTTCCTTTAAAATATAAAAACTGATATTGTAATATTAATTACTTCATGTTTTTAAACACATCAATAAAATTTGAAATATAACCTTACAAATGTCAGCATTTTAAGAATCGCAGATATGGAAAGTGGGGACGAAAATTCGTTTTCCGAAAGACCAAAAAAAATCGAAAGACTTGGAGCAATTCGAGAACAGAATGTACATCATGTAAAGGGACATGAATTTTTGGCTAGATTTTTTAAGCAAGCTACTTTTTGTGGCCATTGCACGGATTTTATTTGGTAAGCAATTAAATGCCTTTTACTGCTTCAGGGGATTTGGAAAGCAAGGTTTTCAGTGCAAAGTCTGTTGCTTTGCGATCCACAAACGCTGTCATGAGTTTGTTCTTTTTCCTTGCCCGGGATCTGACAAAGGACCTGAAACAAATGTAGAAAATTTTTTAATGTATTTTCGTAGTATAGAAAATCGCATTGCTTTAAAAAGCACACATACACATCTCCTGCATTTTGTGATCAGTGTGGTTCCTTTCTTTATGGTATAGTTAATCAAGGCATCCGATGCGAAGGTTTGAATTTATTATGATATTATTTCAACCAGCTTGCCAGCTTAATATCCATAGACGTTGTGAAAAGTATGTTCCACGCCTTTGTGGTATTGATCACACTGAAAAACGCGGTCGCATTTATTTGAAAGTCACGCATGTGAGATCGTCCTTAGTTGTGCTTGGTATGCCATTACTATTTGAACTATTTCACGATCTCTTAAATTACTCAGTTAAGGAAGCCCAGAACCTTGTTCCAATGGACCCGAACGGCCTTGCTGATCCGTATGTCAAGGTTAAACTAACTGCGGATGGGGAAAAAAATAGAAAATTCAAAACAAAAGTTGTCAAAGCTTCCCTTAATCCAGAGTGGAATGAAACATTTGTAATGTAAGTATATTTTACTTGATTTGATTTCAAATTAATAAATGACTTTTGAACAAACTGCTTTGAAAGCTATTTGTCGTTCTTTATGCTATTTCTTTACGGGCAGTCAATGTATTAGATTACCAAGCTTCTTTACCTCATTTTTTCTTTACAAAGTTGCTTACTTTGGCAGTATTTGTATAAGTAATATTATTTACAATAACTCACTCGAACATTATGTGTAGCAAAGTTAAATAAGTGAAGCATCCCATCGGATAGGGGTATCTAGAGTCGATTAAGATCTTAGTTGAACGTGCCAATTTGATTAAGGGAAAAAAGCATTTTAAAAATCTATATCGTATTGCATCTTATGATTTAGTATATATATAGTGTAAACGCAGTACACTGTCGTTTTATTTCCGTACTTTTAGTTGAGATTCATTATCAACTGTAAAATATTAATTGTCTGGTATATAATTTAGAGCTAAATCTGGCAGGTAGGTGTCCTTTAGTATGTTAATTTTGCTATTCACAAGCTTACTTCATATCTTCTTAAATTCAATCTGGATGGCGGAGGCAAACACTGCATACCTCAAGCCGTTTGATTCAAAGCTTTTTGCTTCACAATATAAATTGAGCATGTTTTAACTAGTCATGAATTAAATTCTGTTGATATAACGATCTCAAATCCTTCTGGTTAGTGGCCTGGGATAAGCTACAAACGTTTTCTTTTTGAGGCAGCCTGTGGCCTTCTTGGGGTAGAAGGAAATCGCTAGCTCAGTCAATTTCAACTTCTTTATATGTAGTTTTTAGGTAAGAAGACTTACTCCGTTTCAGGGCATTTGAATCATATAGATCTTTATTCTCGACTTCTGACCAGGTACTCAAGTGACATTTTGCCATCCGATAGTTCAAATTCCCTACGATTTTTTAATAAATTTTATAACACCTGTTTGTGTTCGGAGTTCAGTTTTTAGTAGCTCAATTTGTTTGACGCATTATTTTACGTTTAAAAGTTAAAATTTGCGGTTCTAGTTTGTAGATTTAAAAGTCGAGAGGTTAGTATTTGTGATGAAAGAACTTAACTTATGGTATTTCAATACATCTGCATTTTTTCCTTAAAGACGTTAAGATTCTTTGATACAGTACATCTGATCATCATTCATTCTGTGTGAAATCTAGTGATTTTTTATACGTGAAAGGGCCCTTACCTTCTTCTCCATGATTACCATCTTCCCCTTACGAAAATTAATTCTAGTACCGTTTTACCCGAAGCTTTAATGTATCTTACTTTTATAGAGGTAGAACAAACAAAGTTCACATTTTTTACAATGAACTTGCTAATAACATATTTTGTACCACGTCAATCTGTAGGGGTTAAGGCATAACTCGGAAGGATTTCAAACAAATGGTTATTTTATGACATAGAAGTAGCTGAACAGTGGGATGGTTGTTTTGTGCAAGAAAAATCGCTCGTTCAGTACACACTCAAGAGAGGGAGGGTGGGAGGGAGGGTTGAAGAGGGGAGGGGGGGAGGAGTTGGGGCGGGGCGGTGCGGTGCGGTGCGATGCGGTAATTGATGCGCGCTCGAGTGGCTATTTGGATACTGCATTACCTGAAACTTTTCTCTCCCACCGCTACTGCCGAATGGCTCTCTTGCAAAACTATGATTTTATTTAGCATTAACTGTTAAATAGATATTATTCCAAAGCTAAAATTCTATGAGAGGTTTAGGTACGTAATAACCAAGACGTTTAGAAAAGTAGCATCAATCTGACAATATCGGGATAACGATAAATATCTTAAAACCTGCCATTTGAAAAATAATAATCAGACAATATTCATATTTGTTAGCATAAGGAATTTAAAGGATAAGCAATACTCAATTATAACGGAAAGAAAATATAAGCTATTAATTTCGATATATAAAAATAGTCAATAATTACTCACATTTATATTCCCACTAACATCACATTTTAAGCCGCGTCATTCTTATAGAATTTCTTCGAATTCGCTTGAAGTTATTCTGTTTGTCCTCTTTTTCTTTCACATAGGGCGTATTCAGGTGATTTATGCAGCTTTGTCTTCTTCTCCAATTCTGCCTTCTTGTCAATGTCGTTCCTTTTTTTCTGGGATCTGTCCTTTCACTTTCTCATAATTCGGGTGCCTGGTGCACTGTATTCATCTACGAAGATCTCCATTCTCTGTCTTTTTAGTAGCATTTATTTTCGGTACTAGTTTCGATTCATTGTTCAGAATTCAATAACAATATCAAGATGGCAAGTGTAGGTCATCCAGTCTTCATCATTCTCGTTACTGAAAGAATTCAAATAGATTTTTTATTAAATCGAGGAAAAATGGAGGCTTCTTCATAAACTTTTAGACCTGAAATTGTTCGATGGGTTGATAGCACTTTCGAAACTTCCATTTTCACCCTGTCTTAACGTCCGCAGCAAGTCTAACTTTTATATATTATCTGGAGCATAGGTAAGATTTATTTATATCAAATGGCAGGCGTCTTGATGGTTATCATTAGCCCTTTAGTTGACTTCAGTCTTCACATAGGGGAAGGAACATCAAAGTGGGGAAAAAAGTCGAGAGAGGGGGGGGGGAACAGAAGAGTGCTTCAAAGACGAAGGTAGAAAAAGGTGAGGTGAGTACTGTGAAATTGTCGAATATGACATACAATGGGGTGAGGGTAGTTTGAAGTGAGAAGTCAACTGCCAGTTAATAGACTTTTTTGCCGTATGAATATACGTTGCCCAGGGTGCACCACGTGGAGGTAAGTCTATCGCACACCCCCATAGGTAAGATAGTTTATGGGAAAAAACCGCTTATCTAATTGAATCTGCTTCTCGGCCGTGATTAAATTCAACCACATTTAAAACCAGAGAATCGGCGGATGAAAGAGAATTATCGGAGGTCTTACTTTTCATCATTATAAGTTTACGAAATTGCTATTACAACTTTCCAATTTTCTTCACATAACGGTTCAATCTTCTTCATGATGAGTTTCAATTCGCAGATGGTCAATGAAATTTTTAAAAATGATCAGGTTTCGAGTGTTTTACTTCTCACAGCTGAATTTTACGATCTGTCAATCAGATCGAAGAAAAACGCAACTTCTCTTTGTTATTCCAGTTCAACTCAAACTATGTTGGTATAGCATAAATCATTTATTTATTTCAAATGGCAGGCATTTTGATAATTATCATTAGCCATTTTGCTGACTTCGGACTTCACAGAGAGAAGGAGGAAAATCATTGTGGGACAAATTCGAGAAGGGGAAAGGAGGAGTGATTCACAGATGTAAAGAGACGAATGGACCCAAATGCAGAGAAAAGCTAGGGTAAGGTAAGGTGAGTACTGTTAAAGTGGTCGAATTTGGCATACAATGGGGTCATGGTAGTTTGAAGTGAGAAATCAACTGCCGAGTAATGGACTTTTTTGTCGCATGAGTATACATTGCCCAGGATGCACCACGTGGAGGTAAGTTCATCGCGCACCCCTAGCATAAATCATAATAGGCCTCGGAAACAAAATAGGGCTGAATTGTAGTTAAATGATATATTTGGTAGTATATTAATTGTTATTTATGATCATATTTTACCATAAACGTTTTATAAAAGGTTAATTTTGCATTTCCATGGATAGCGATTGCAATAATCATAAATTCAAATATCCCTTAGAGAAATTAATAAAGCAGACGAGTCGAAGCGGTTATTGATTGAGATATGGGATTGGGATCGGGCATCACGAGACGATTTCATGGGCGAACTTTCGTTTGGGGTGTCTGAAATTATTCGACGTCCCGTTGATTGCTGGTTCAAACTTCTGAGTAAAGAAGAAGGCGAATTCTACTCAATACCTTGTTTTGATCCCAAACTCGGCTCTACATTCAACATACAAAAGTCGAATTATGAAGTGAGTTTCATCCCTCATCATTATTGTGCATTGTCTTTGGTTAGTAGCTTAAAAAGCAATGGACGATGGTGTTAGATATTCTAAGATCCTTCACTCACTTACTAATTACTTAAAAACATTTTAGTTAAAATGTATTTACTTCTTTTTTGGAATCAGAAGATATATTACTAATGAGGTGGTGTGGCCAACTACCCAACTTTGCCAATTATTCCTTAAGCTTTGAACGTGGTGAACATGACCTCAATCAGGAATAATAAATTATGAGCACTGTGGACAAGCTTTCGTGGTCTAAACTTATTAACTTAAAATCAAAACTTATATAACCTCTAACAAGTATGAGGTAATGAAAAAATTGATGATTTATTTTATCTTTACAGGAAAAGAACTCAGGTGAGAACAGCATTGAGAAGGCTGATAACCGTGTGCGGAGTAAACAGGACACACTTCGAATTTCCGATTTTAAGTTTCTTCGCGTTCTGGGAAAGGGAAGTTTCGGCAAGGTTAGTTGAAACAAATGTATATTCCTATTTATTGAGCAAAAATGCACCTACCCACTCATATTGCCAAAGATATAAGGAGGCACGTCGAAAGGAATGAGACATTGAGCTGCGTAAACAATTTCCACTACTATGTCCTTTCGCAAATGTAGTGATGCGAGCAGGAATAGAATAAGTGTTTTGTCATGGGTCTTTCCACCTCTTCTTCCTCCTCCTCTGTCCTGAGGATACGATTGCCAAGTTGCTAAAGAATAGCTTATTGCCAATGGATGTACAGGTAGCTTCCCAACCTAACTATCTACTCTTAGTCGATACCAGATTTTTGATTCCGGTATTTAAGGTGTGAATGAAGGCAAAATTAGCTCAACCGTCCTCTAAACAGCGTCTAATATCTAACTTCCAAGTAAATTTGAGGTCCTTTCCCATCTTTCAGGCTAATTTTGCTATCAAGCGTTTTATCTTATCAACTGCAATAGTGAACGGTTTATCTTTCATTCCTACAAACATTTTACCACGATCATTTTCGAACTATCAGTTCATTTGTTAAAATAGGTAGTGTTCTGATACCCCAATCACAAATACGCTGTACATCTTAGACCTCTTTGTGCTCACCTCCTTCCTTTTCTTCACTCATATTCAACTACTTATACAATTAATTTGTAATTTTATGTGTTTTACCACCAAATTTGTGAAGAGTGAAAAGGTGTTTAAATAAAACTAAAAGTTAATGTCTCCCAAATGCTTTATTTCTACCTAATTAATTTAAAGAAAGTTAACACAATTTTAAGAATGCTGTAGATTTATCAGATAAAATTCCTAGTTCCTTAATCAATACGGGGCCATTTAGTGTTATTAATAATTAAGATAGCCTTTTTCTTGGTGAAGCATTAAAATACATCTCTTTGTTTCAAAGCAAACGGTTGAGGAAGATTTGAAGCTACAAATAGACTAATATACCCAATTACCACTTTTTCGGAAAATCTCAGCACAAAGAATCCTTTTCTAAAAAATTATCCTTAGTCTTTTCAGTTTGCATTATTAACATATTGGACGTACTGTATTGTGAGTTGTTTCAACCCTACCAGATTAGGCGATTCTTTTTATCGTCTACCCATCACACATTATATTAATTAATTAATTTTAAAACTATATGAATATCTTTTTCACCCGTTATTAAGTTGAATGAAATTTGTAGATCTTGGAAAATTCAGAATTTCTAGTTCGTTTTCTTTCATTTTACTCCAATCAGCTTTTAAAATAGGCTCTAGTGACCTTCTTATATAAGTGTTCCGGTGTAAGAATAGCCACAATAGCATATGGCGACTAAATTAATCAACATTTTCTTATTTCCCGCCCTCCCCTCCACTTCCCCCCCCCCCCCCNCCCCCCCCCTTCCCCCCCCCCCCCTATTTTGCATTAAACAGCCCAGTTCGTTAAAATTTTATTGAGGTCTAAAAATGACTGCATGGGCGATTTCTTACTTAATGTTATCCTTTTGAGGTACTTGACTCGTCAGGTATATATAGTATAGAGATATGAGCATTGTGGCGTAATACAGATAGGTTACATGATGTGATGGAATATGGATAATCAAGACCCTATATGTAGGGGAATCGCCACTTTAGGATGCCCTGCGCATGGCAAACTGCCAAGTTCTTCCAAGTGGAAATGTCCACAAACCATCGAATATTACCACACCAGATCCAACAAGATGGCAATCAATCAACCTCTTTCTCCATCTGTTAAAGAAATATAAGTTTCAGCGAAATAATGCAATAATGAGCTTGAATAGGGTTATCTAATTAGTTTAACCGTTTTTATACCTTAGTTCAAAGCATTTACTTATGCGTCTTTAACATTAAGCAGTCTAAACAGACGTATTCCCCTTTTATGACACCTTTCAAAATGCCAAATTCTACATGAATCGGATTTCAGTTAGTAATCAAATAGAATATACTTTTCTCTAATGGCCTTTGTACATTCTCTGCCTCTAACACATTAATCAATTTATTTAATATACCTGAGGACTGTTTTTTGTTCGTTTCATTCGATTCATTTCACAAAATTTGCAAAAAACTTTTGTGTGGGTGTCTGTCTGTTATATTCTTTTATATTTTATTTAAAATTTAACTTCTCCTGAAAGAGTGCTTTCTTTTATTAATTTGGACGTTTTGAATGGGCAATCCTATTTTAATGGGTTGTTATTATTATCACTATTATTATTATTATTTATATCAAGTGGCAGACTTTATGATAGTTTGCATTACCTCTTCACAGAGAGGAGGAACAGAAAAAGTCACTAAATTCGAGGGTGGGGGGGGGGGCAGACAGACAGACAAAAAGGCAGGGAAAAAGGAAAGGTGAGTACTGGAAAGGAAGTGGTCGAATATGACATACAGTGGGATCATGGTAGTTTGAAGTGAGAAGTCAACTACTGGTTGATAGATTTTTTGCCGTATGAGTACACGTTGTCCAGGGTGTACCACTTGAAGGTGAGTCTATCGAGCTCCCCATATACGAGAAAATGGTGATCTCCGTTCAATTACCCTAGAATTATCTTAAAATTGGTGTCAACCGAAAGCAGCTTGTCATATTTTTAGAACTAGCTTCTCTTTTACTTTATTTAAAATTGAAGCTAATCCATCTTCCTTTTAGAATGGGGTATCGCGAGGAAGTTTAACTGACAATAGTTTTTTCACTTTAACAACTCTGCCTAATACATACTTAGAAACGAGGAAGAAAACTTCTACTAACAGTATGTTTTCTCTCTTGTTCATTTCAGGTGATTTTGGCAGAACATAAAGATACAGATGAGGTGTATGCCATAAAGGTGTTAAAAAAAGACTTGATTATTCAGGAAGACGATATCGAATGCATAATGGTGGAAAAACGCGTCTTGTCTCTCCAGCAGAAACCACCTTTTATTGTTCAATTGCATTCTTGCTTCCAAACGATCGTAAGTCTGTGGTAATCTCAGCTAAATGATGGTATTCAATACGTTGAAGCCCATTTCGTTGTTATAAGAAGTTTCGTAGATGCGTATTTAATATAACGAATTCTTTTGGCCTATTTTAGGATCGGCTCTTCTTTGTGATGGAATTTATCAACGGCGGTGATCTAATGCATTGGATACAACTCGTGGGGAAGTTTAAAGAACCAGTTGCAACGTATGCTAGCCATTTAGTGCTTTGATAATTGCTTATTTAATGACAGCAAGAAAGATTATTTTGTTATGTAAATCAAAGAAAAACTTGTTTGCTAGAGACACTGGAATTATTTGCAAAAAGCGAAGGCATAAAACTAAAGGTCGATTTTATTGCAGGTTTTATGCGGCTGAAGTCGCCGTGGCACTATTTTTTCTGCATTCCCATGGCGTTGTTTACCGGTAAGTCTCGATTTCTTTCCCAACTCCTAATGCCACTGTCCATTAAGTTTCCTGTCGATAGGACTTGGGCAAAAATAATATTTTTTGCGTCACATGAACTATTTAAATAAAGTGAAATGGTTATCGTTGATGAATAGTGAATGAAGCAAAGGTGATTATCTAACTGCAATTGTTCACCAGAATTATGAAAAGACGCTCCGAAAAATTTTTTGCTTTGTTTCTAATCAACGATGTTAATCAATCAATTAATTAATCAATCTTTTCGACCTATCCCAGTTAGCTAAGTGTGATGAAGGCTGATCTTTGTTCAACCAATGATTCATCCTCGTAGAAAGCACGCATGCTTGTTGGGCAGTTAAAAAAGAAAAAAATTGATCTCGTACGATTATCGATTCCTTTTCTTGAATAGCTTTTTTGCGTTTTAGCGACTTAAAGTTGGACAATGTTCTTCTTGATTACGAAGGTCATGTCAAGTTAGCGGATTTCGGACTGTGTAAAGACGGAATAATTGGAATGAATAAAACACAGACTTTCTGTGGAACTCTGAATTCAATTGCACCAGAGGTTTCTTGTTTATTGTTTACTTTTTACTTTAAATTATTTCTTTTAATCATATATCACCCTTTTTAGACAGTTTATGCAAATAATATATTTTCACGCAAACAAAGAAGGGAAATGAACATATATTTCTCATTGGATAAAATGACCCAATTATTGTTTTTTTCTGTATCCGAGGCCTCATGTATATATATTTTAAAGACTACTGAAGCAAGTAAATGAATAATAGATGCCAACTAGCACAAACGCCAGTTGATTGTGATCTTCCAAAGTCAATATTATTTTAATTCTTTAAATCCTGCTAAATTTTCAGTCAATTTTTGACAATATTGATTAAAAGAATTTTTAAGTATTGGTGGATAAAAAAATTTATGTTAGCTTATGTTTTTTCTGCTCAGTATTCCTTTGATTTTGAGGGCTAAAATTTTATTCATAAATCGCTTCTTTTTATAAGTTCGTGACTTTGATATCAAAACTGAGTGTGTGGCCAGAAGTAGAGTGTAGGTTTCACTTCTTTTCACAGCGTAAACTAGAGATTAGGCACTGGTGTTATTTGAAAAGCTGGTCTCTTCAGCTTCCATTAGTACAAGATTGTTGACGAAAATTGTATTTCGTTCTCTTTTTTTCCTTCGAAGTAACAATAGGGTCATAAATTAGGGCCATTTTATGCATCCCACGTACCACTCTACTGCGAAATACGTTTCAATGGATTATTTTATTTGGTATTTTGCGAGTCAATAATGACTTCTTTGTTTTTTTGCTCTTTAAATCAACTTCAATTGTTGAGGACATTTTTCGTATTTTAGTTTATAAAAAGTCGAACAGAATCAAAATGACCTTAGGTAGCACCAATAAGCTGTCTTTATATTGTTGCATCAAACTGAAATTGCTAACAACTCAATTTTTTAAATTAGCCAACAAGCCTATGATTCAATCAGGACACCACTGCTCGACTTAGTGTGACATACTAATGGGGTAAATATGATCAGTCTGATAATCTGTATTTCAAATGGTGTTTGGCACTTGGTGCTCTGACTTCACCTTCTGCTTCTTCTTGAACCTCCACCCCCTCCCCCCCTCTCTCTCTGTTTTCTACTGTAATTGTTCGCATCTTAACTCCTAATACACGTATTCTTGAATAAGTGCAGTGAACCTATCGTTAGCAATGTTATAATTAACTAAATGAATAATCATTTAAATTTGATGCTTACCTGAACTAATCTAGTAAAACAAATTTTAGATAATACAAAGGCAACCATACGGGTCGTCCGCGGATTGGTGGTGCTTGGGTGTCCTAATCTATGAAATGCTCGTTGGGCAGGTAATTGGTATATTTTTATTGATGGCTATGAGATAAACAAAATTTAACCCTCCGTCTGCCATGTTAGCAGTTAAAAATGTGAGCCAATTACATCAAATGGCAGGCCCTTTAGTTGACTTTGTTATTCACAGAGAGGAGGAGGAACATCAAACTAACTGGAAGTCGAGAGGGGAACAGAAGAGTGATTCACAGATGTAATTTTCAATACACTCCTGTTCATTAGCGAAGTTTGAAAATCTATTAATGAATGATAAAATTATGCATTAAGTGGGCATTATGTTCACCAAAATCTTTAATGCTAGAGGATAAGAAATGTCTTGGTTTCTGAATTTCACAGACCGGTTCTTCTATTACTGCATTATTCATTGACAAATATTTCTAAGTAGTCTAATAGCTGAATTCCAAAACTGGGTATATCAAAAGGACGAGTGGATGTCACTCCCAAGAGTTCTGTTATGAAATTATTTTTAAGTTTATTACTATAGTAAATTAACTCAGGACAGTTTTGTAAAATATATGCGAATTTACGAACCTTTGCTAAATTTCAATTTTTCACATTAACAATGATTTTCACTTATCCACTAGCCGCCTTTTACGGCAGAAGATGAGGAGGATCTTTTGCAATCCATTCTCGAAGTTACTCCATCTTTTCCAAGGAATATTTCCAAAGAAGCCCATAGTATTTGCCGTGGTGTAAGTTTCATTTAATCTCACTGCATTTGCATTGCAGTTCTTGAATAAGGATCCAAATACGCGTCTCGGTTGCAGTCCAGCAGGATGTCTGGGAATTCGCGATCATGTCTTCTTTCGTCGAATAAATTGGGAGCTCATTGAGACACGAGCAATTCAACCTCCTTTTAAACCCTACGTGGTAAGTTGATCAATTTTGCATCTATTTACGCTGTCTACAACTTGATATAAATGATATGCCAGTTTTAGTGGAATTTTCACTGAGATCATTAGAGAAAATGAAAAAGAAGTTTTGTTAGGTGCAATGAATACCTTGGGGTTCTACTGAAGAATCTGCCTCATTGGAACTTGCATCAGACTTATCTATTTGAGAAGGTTCGAGTCTTATCTACCTAAGCTGAGATATTTTATTTGAATTTGTAAAGTTGTAATAGGTTGTTATGCGCACCGGAAGAATACTACAATTTTAGCAAAACATATCGATTATAAAGTTTATCTATCTGATATTTTGCATCGTTAAAACAGGTTGTCATCCCGAACTGACCTTAACATAGTGATTATGTTCAATAGTCCATATTCCTTCAAATTGATTTTAAGATGGATCGAAGGTGATTATCATGCGCACATTTGTACCGCTGAGCTCATCATCTTAAACGTCATTTATTGAGGCATTACGTCAGTATCTTTGTTCGGACTGTTAATAAGATCTCTCCATTTAACTAAACTTTTCCTTATTAAATATTTTAAGCGTGACAAACGAGACACAAGCAACTTTGATTCAGCGTTTACCGACATTCCAGCAGAACTTTCCCCGACCGACAAACTCTTCATCATGAATCTCAGTCAAACGGAATTCGCAGGCTTTTCATTTGTCAACCCAGAATTCGTAATAGAGGTTTAGAGCGGATTGCCTTTTCTTTTTAAAACGTAGTTGCTCGTACTTTCTTCGTTATTTTACTCTTAAACTCTGTAATATGCCTTATTTTGCTTCATGCCACAACCTCATCGTGCATTCATACTATTTTTCCTATGATTATCAATAAGTGGAATATTTCGAAACTAGGAACGTGTGTCTTCTGCTATAAAATAAATAATGACTTAAAACGCAAAATAGGACTTCTGGTTTCCTTGATACAGTTTTTTTAGGTTTTTTATTACTTTAAAGACTTACTGAAACCGCTTTGCAAGCTTCAATCATGAAAGAGAAGAAAATGTCATCTTTTTGAGATTGAATGTAATTAAAAGAAGTTCTAAAATCGTCGAGCCATCGCCTTTCGCAGCATGATGAAATGATTGCAAGCGACTTAGCATTCGCCGTATCATTTGGATAGAAGAGTTCATCATTGGTATTTAAACCAGTTTTGTGTTAGTCAACAACTTGAGTTCTACTAAAGCTTATATTTCATTGTGGTAGAAGTTAAGGTAATTCTTCAAAAATCACCATCTTACCATTGTGGCGTGTCCACCAACTTAGCCTTTAATTTTACAGTGCGTATTAGTGCATCTTGTAAATTTTAATGAGTTCAGTACTTGTTTTTATGTAAACTTAAAATCGGATTTCGCCATAAAATACCTAAAAAAATCTCCTCCTTTATCACCGTTCAAAATCATGGGAAATTTCTCCATTTTTTATTCTCTATGTAAAAAATGTTCTCTCTTTTTACTCTACCTCTAGTGAGTATGACATCAACCTTAAGTGTTTATGTCATAGTCAAAATTTTGTTGCTAACTTACAGTAACTTCTTTCGCGCCGAAATGCGTGAACACTGACGACATATATTTCTACGAAGTGAAATGTGTTACATGTTGTTAGTTTTTAGGGAGACGGAAAACGCAGCTGTATGCTGTGAGTAGCTGATCAGTGACTAGGGAATAAATAACATTCTATTTAAGGATCTGATTTCATTGTTTTATTTTGAATTTAAATATTAAGAAATTAAATAGAGTTAGTTATGATGATCACTTTTTTGATATTAGATATAAGATACGGGGGTGTGCGATAGACTTACCTCCGCGTGGTGCACCCTGGGCAACGTATACTCATACGGCAAAAAAGTCTATTAACCGGCAGTTGATTTCTGACTTCAAACTACCATGACCCCATTGCATTTCATATTCGAATAATTCCACAGTGTTCACCTCACCTTTTTTCTACCTTTGTGTCTGTCTGTCTGTCTCTTTTACGTCTGTGAATCATTATTCTTCCCCCTCTCGACTTTTTACCACTTGGATATTCATCTTCCTTTCTTTGAAGCCCGAAGTCAACTAAAGGGCTAATGATACCTATCATAACGCCTGCCATTTGAAATAAATAAATATATTTTTGAAAACCCCGAAGTCAACTAAAGGGATAATGATACCTATCATAACGGGAAGTCAACTAAAGGGCTAATGATACCTATCATAACGCCTGCCATTTGAAATAAATAAATAAATATAGGATACGAGGAGGGCAAGTGGATTTAGAAAATAAAATTTCCCTAGATTTGGGATTTTACCTACTGGTTCGAGTTTTTATACCATCTATTTCTCTGTACATTTGGCTATATTCAGATCATCTTTTTCAACCTACACGACAATCGCCAACTATGAAAAATACCTCTTTGAAAGAATCCAATCGACTTTGTTCCAACTTTTAAACTTTCCTATTCGATTTTTCGTGGTAGTATAACCAGTTAGCAGGTGGTTAAGTATATGGAACCATAAAGTGCGCAAATCCTATGCACTAAATGTAGATTTAAACTTACCTTGGGTAGCAATATTTACACTAAATGTAGATTGCTAGAAGCTACAATTGCTATTTATCCAGTTTTCTTATGCAAAGGTTCTCCCTTTTAAAATTCCACCATAGGCCTGAATCTTCAGAGACTAACACCAATTCTGTTATACTTTTAAATGCTTTTGGACTTAAGGTCGGTCAAAATTGATTAGAAATAAAATATGACTAGTTGACCTATTTTATGCTTATTTATCTATTAGATCATATCTAAAATCGCTAACTATGATGAAGTGATTCCCACCCATACCATCTGGTGTTGGGTTTACTTGCATAGAAAAGATTAAATTAGTCAGAAAAAATTCATCAAAGAAGTGGGATTATAACATAGTCCCTAGAAAGTTAGAGTTTGAACAATAATTAAACGATTAACGCTTTGTTGATTTATTTTGAGTTATAATTTTCCTCAGCGCAATTCACGCATTAAATCTTGCTTTATTTAATTAACTGGCGCATCCTGGTGGGGAACGACTATAGCATAGCAAAAGCTGAAGGGCCTCTCTCTCTCTCTCTCTCTCTCGACCAAACAGTGAAAAAATCCAAAGCAAATTCAACGGCGGTCAATGGTTCAAGTCGTTACGTGTACCTGTTATGACTAAGTTCCCCGTCTGCACATGACACATCCCAACTAAATGTGTGTTTACGTATTCTAAAGACTATGAGTAGGAAACATAAATTGAGAGTGAAATTGTACAGTGTGTGATAAACTGGTGTTGATATATCCGATGCAGTGGACTCTTTATGACAGCTACCAATCGATTTAACAATTTGAATAGAATGAGTAGAATATTTTTGGTACTTTAGTCAATAATATGAACCATTTAGTTTAATATCACATTTCATGTCATATCCTTGAAAAGAATTAGGCCGTTATTAATAGTAAATGTCTTTTTAGATTTTTGAAGTCCAAGTTGAATATTCATATTTGATATTTCCAATAAACTCAGCCATGGTAACGTTCTTGGGATATCAGAACAAGTTTTAATTTTTACATTTCCTTTAAATGATAAGAAAACGAAAAAGGGATTCATATTATAAGTTTTTCGCAATGTTGCATTTTTTAAGCAGTAAGATAGCAAATTTCTTATGAAACATCAGAGTTTGTAATATTTGGGTATACTGGAACTATCCGAGGGGAGATCATTTTCATCTCTTCGTAATGTCAAGGGAACGTCGTCAATAGGTTGATGATATGGAGATTTTGTAATGCTATTTGGTGTGAGAAGGGTTGAGATTAGCCCACGCCTAGCCCGGAGTTGGCTACACAATGGGAAGCTTTAGATGAATGACAAGTGGAGGAGAAGTAAGCGAAGAGGTTCCAAATATAAAATTCACTTATTCGATGACTTTTAGACCCGTTTATTCCTGCCCTAAATGAAAAATTTTTATTCAACATAGTTATGTAAATCGAATGCGTCTTTGAGAAGATAATAAGAACCTACAACATGCACTTCTTAATGTATGTTTTGGCTCGCATATTTTATCAACAATTCCTCCACCATCAGTGGAAAGATAAAACAATAAAAAAGCGCATTAAGAGTTGCTTTTGTAAGACATCATCTTCATACTAAGAGTGATAAAAGTTACTGCATTTTCCAAACGAAAGAAGAGAAAAGTACACCCACATCAGCGAGTTGCATGAGGTTTTTGGCTTTAAGAAACAAAAGTGAGTGGAAGTGGTCATATGATAGATCTTCTTCGCGTGACAATGTAGGTCGTTTGTGCCATGACAAATGGCAGGCCCTATTCTTCCAACACAACCTGACAAAAATGAGGCATTGATTCATATCTGGAAAGCAGAAATGCATCAATTTTCGCCATTAAATAAATGTGCCAGAAACGCTTCAGAATTTGACTCCTTAAAATTATAACTTACCGAATATGAAGAGCACAAAGTGTCAGAAGACAGCTAATGGTCAAAAGGATTGACCTGCTTTCAAAATGTTATTCAAAAACGCATTCATAGACATCTATTTTATAATTAAAACTTGTGAATAGCAGAAAATTCAATTTTTACATTTCCTGTGGTTGTCTGAGTCTGCCAAATTATTAATTAGTATCTATTAGTCAACATAGGCAATATTAATATAATCGCATTATTCTTTAATAGATACTAGTCAATGCTCTGATGTTTATTTAGGGAGAGGGGGAGCTAATGAGTGCCGTTTATGCTTGAGATGACTCCTGAGCGTATTATGTGAATCACTGGCGTTATCAACTGGAAATGTTATTGAGTTTTCATGATCTTTTCGAAGTAAGTGCATTGATTTGCAGTGTGTAATGGCCATATATAGTCAAATGTATTCTTCCATAAAAATTAAACTCCATTTATTTAGCGGGACGAAAATATGCGTTCCACGTTTCAGCATGTGGCTTTTTAGGTGTCTTGAAGATTAGCTAATGTATGCTAGATTAGAAGGTACTGACGGATCGACTTCAGCATGCAAAAGGATAGTCTGACGACTTGTGAATTACTTTGTCCAACTTAGTAGTACCGCAAGAATTATTCGTGGTTATGGTGTCCGCGAAATTATATGAACACTTGTAATCAGCCATTAATGGTGAGTAAAACAAAAATGACATATCTGATGTAGGTTCAGTTCGTATGCATATTGCTTCGAGTTTTTTATATTAAACTTTGTTAGGCTAAATCTCAGGATCAGTTTAGGAACTTAGACGAAACATTTATTAGTATAAATATTATGTCAACAAAGGAGCGTTTTTCGGTGGAGCGCCAATTATCGGTAACACAATGTGGGGTTTTTCGTTTTGAAATTACCACTTTCAGCAGATAGCTTGGGCAGACATAAGCCTACTTAGTTAATATAAGAATCAGGACCAGTCTGCATTAAGTTCCATGTTAAAACCATACTTAGTATGGCAGCAATTATTTCTAAATGGGCTTGTGAATTTCCAGATTCTTTAATTATATACCTAAATACAGTGAATTATCACAAAGTATAGCGAATTTATGTGGTTCCATTATATATTTCACAAAAAAGCTGATTTCTCACAAAATGATCTTATGAAAGATGAGCGCCTTGAATAAATGCAAGGATCAAAAATTTTAATGACTAAAAGTATTCATACATTAATATTTCAGACAAGCAGAAAGGAAATTTAGTCTTAATTAAAGTACCATTATATTTTTAGAAAGCATTCAAAATTCATTTCATATGTTAGACCAAAAATTTGGGTCAATAAAATAGATCATATAACAATTCTTTTTCTTTAAATAATAAATAATCAAATCTTAGAAATATTTAATTAAAGTTGAAAACAAGTTAGTCCTACAAACATTATTTACAAAATATAAAATGCTAATAAGATTATATCTTTATATTCGGTCTAATTTTATCAATTGTAGCAATTAATTTGTTTGGTTTAGTAAATTTAATTACATTAATGCGCGGTTTTCGAATCCTTACTAAAGACCTATAGCAGGTTGAATCGAACTATTTAAGATATTTGTATTTTCAGATCTAGGAAATGCTGCATGACCCTCATGATCACACGGCTAATAACAAAAGGTAAGTCCAGTTCTTGCGTTTATTGTACATAATAATCTCGCTTAAACTTCCTCTTTAACCCCAGCATGAATGAATCGTGTTCAGCTTTTGGAAGGCCGTACCCAAGTGTAATTTCGGACCCGACGCATATAGCTTCTGAAAGCACGCGCGTCGAACAAATTGGGAATAAAAAAAGAATAGTGGATGTTACTAATAATCTACCTAGTACTGGAAGTATGGTGTATCCTATGCAGCTTCTCAGCATTGGAAAGACACAATTATTTGATGGAAAAAATCAAGTTTGCTCTATTGCAAGCAAATGCATTAATTTTGGTGTCCAAACTTCTGGTAATTTTTTAGACGTGACATTAATTTTCCCTTAGCTGGATTAGTGAATATTGGTGTTAATGCCAATGAAGTCGAAGAAATACTATTCTGTGAACCACTGAGAATAATATTTTTTTCCTTACGTGAAGCTTGCATGAAACATATTTCCAATGCCCTGGGTGTTGTGCCCATTAAAGATGGTAAGCCTTGTTTTTTATTTTGGTATTAATTTTTCGATCCTTCTAGTGGAGAGAAAAACTCGTGTCGTAGTAGTTTTGGCTGAGAAACCTCTTCGGGACCCATACGAATGTTCTCTTGAGCCCCGATATATAACGGCACTGCAATTAGAGGGCTTCTGTACTAATGTTCGTGTTTCTGGTGGTTTAGCCATGAGTGATATTAAGCCTTCAACTGCTCAGAGTATTCTAACCAGTTATGGTTTGCGTCTTAATTTTTCGCAATCAGCAAATGAAGCCAAGCGAGATTCGATTCCCCTAATATTCCCGGAGGCTGCGGTGTATTCTGTTCCTGGATCCGAACCTGCCCCATTTCCCAAACCCTTAACGGTATTGCCCTCTTACGTTATATTACAATTTCGATTTAGTTTCTGTTTTTAATCTCTTTTTTTTCAGGCCTCTACCCTCCCTTTAGCCCAAAATGTGGGCAACGTAGCAGAAGTAGTGAGTTTATGTGACGATTCGGATGATGAATGCAACGATGTCGTTAAAGCTCCGCCTTCAATAGTCTCTAGAGGACGAGTGTCTCCTTCTCCTGAACGAGTCGTCGCTAATGGAACCCGCAAGTATGCTTTTTTGTAATATGTACGATTTCGCCTCTTCTTTGTGTCTAAGAAACCTTTTCCTTTCCTAAGTTCCACTGGCTTCAACTATAGGCCCCCTGGTTCAAAAGACTCCATTTTTTTGACCTACGCTGATATTGAGTGTCTCGCTCCTGGAATGTTTGTCAATGATACAATCATAAACTTTTACTTGAAATACCTCTACTTTGAACAATTTTCCGACCAACAGCGGCATTCTACCCATCTGTTCAATTCCTTCTTCTATTCTAAACTTTGCGCAGCCCATCCCGAAACTAATTCAAATGATGAAGAGCGAGAGTAACTATTATATAATTTTTCCCTCTTTACTCATTTTTGTCTTAATCGATTGTCTTCTTTTTTTCAGGGTTGTTATGGCTCGACACAAGGCTGTAGCTACCTGGACAAGACGTTCGGACATTTTCACTAAAGACTACATAATAATTCCGATTAATGAGAACCTTCACTGGTTTTTGGGTCTCGTTTGCTATCCCTGGATGGTTGGCATGGTTAGCTACAATAAACTATACTCGGAATACAACTATGACCAATGTCAACTCGTTCCCGACTTTGCCGACACCACTTTCGATCCCAATTTGGGAGATATTGGAAATGAGGAAATCAGGGTTCTTCCTACAGATGCTCAGGTTGTTTATCGAATGATGCGCTTCTCTGGCTTTTGATTTTTGATCGTTGATTTCGTTTTTCTAATTTTAGGCAGAGGCGTTCAATCGATGGAGGCGCAGGCGCTTGGCATGGTTGCGTAAAAGGGGAATTAATGCAATGTTTGTTGCCAAATTTTAGTGTGTTATTCACGCGATTTATATTTCATAATTCCAATTATTCTTTTCACTTGTAGGCCCTGCATTCTTCTATTTGATTCCCTCGCTTCTCAGCATCGTGTTGGGAATTTGCATAAAATCCGAAGGTAGTTGTTATCCACAATTGTTGTACTCGTTGTTTAATATGTAAAGTAATTTTTTTAATTTAGCTATCTCCAAGCAGAATGGGATGTGCGAAGGAGTGAACGTGATGGTGAGATGGTTTTCAATAAGGACACGATCCGCGGGTTCAGTCCTCGAGTTCCTGGACAAGGAAACTTAGTGGATTGTGGAATTTTCCTTTTACACTATGTGGAAATGTTCTTCAAGAGGCCTGTGAAAAGCTATACTCGTGAATACTTCCAGAACGAGATGAGCCGATGGTTTGAGAGCGATATGTTGGGCAAGAAGAGGTCGGTCATCAATAAGCTAATTGATCAGCTCTCACAACGAACTGGTGCTCAAAGGGACTCCTTGGAAGCCCTTCAGTAGACCTTTACTTCCTCTTTACTTTTTACCACAGGGGCTATGTTTATGTACATATATATGGCAAATTTCTAATGGTTGCTTCATCTTATAATCCCCTACCCAAAATCAAAATTTGGTTTTCCCTGCACTGTTTAACTCTTTAGAATGTCTTGTATATTGTATATTTCTATAAGACTAGCTGGATCCATTGGAATAATGTTAATAATCGTTGAGTACTTTTAACTATAGTGTCTGACTTCGGAGTTCTTCGTTCTGTTGATAAAAAATGTTTACCCTCAATGGTGAACTTGCTATGGTTAATTAAATTCCGGTTTACCACCGCTCTAGCAGGAATACGATACCAGTCTTTCGTGCTTCTGGGTGTAGTGCTCTGAGACATGAAGGTAAGAGCAGTCGAGGGCAGAGGTGGGGTTGGGTGCAATTTTTATGGCATTCTAGGTTGATTTGATGGAGAGATTGTCGGCCGGTATGTCACTTTTCATATGTCGGTTTACCTTTTACTATTCTCATTTACATTCTTCGCAAATGAAATTAGATCTTAATTTTGTGGAATCTAAGTACTAATATGCTAGTGCAGCAATCTAGATTAAGCGAAGGATTTTAAATGTTGAATCGGTTGAAAGCGTCTTTCTAATCCCTATGATGCTATGCATATTTGTCTGAGTCATAATGTTATAAATAAGCTTTCTTGGTACGCAGCCAATCTGTTGGCTCAGCGACGCAATTACCTCTGCATCATGGCTAGGAACTAACTCAATTTCAAAGACATGTACTCGCTGATAGGTAAAAACGATAAATAGCATCACCAATGACAAAAATGAATTCTTCAAAGTAGCAAGAACTCCTTATTATGGCCCTTTTATGTCTTATACCCCTCAGAAGCAGAACTACTAATCTATTCTAACCGGAGCCCCTTGTCTCCGCAGAAATAATATACAGCCTCTCGGTTAAGTTACTTATTTCGATTATTTCCAGTAAACGCATTCAACTTGAACTAACACTTATCTCATTGAATTTACTTTAAGACTTCTTAAGATATTCCCAGGGTCAACAAAATACAGTAGTCTTCACGTAGGAAGTAGACCAAGAGTTACGAATGAGAGGGAGATGGGGAGTGACGTACCTCTAACTGGAGCAACCTTGACAACATATACTCATACGCAAAACAGTCCATAAAGCAGAAATTGACTTCGGCCACTTCCACAGTGCTCACCTTACATCTGTGAATCACTTTTCTTCCCCTCCCCTCTCGATTCTTTGTGACTTTGATATTCCTCCCCTCTGTGAAGTCCGGAGTCAACTAAAGGGCCAATGATTCCCATCGTAAAGCCCGCCATTTGATATAAATATATGAAGAAAAAGGAGTGGGAAAGAGGAGTAGAAGTATAAATTTCTATAAAAGAGGAAGTGTCTAAATTAATCAATTACAAACCAGCTTCTGATGAATAAGGAAAATGATATAGAATAAGGCGGTTAATGGATTTCGTGTTCGTTGTACACTGGTAAGAATTGACCGTTAGGACAAATTTGTGATTCAATAAGCGTGATACTGAAGAAACTAAATAGACCTATGTGTCTGAGTGTACGGCAACCACCGCCACATCGGAACTCTGTCTTTACTACCACCATCATTTGCCAAGAGATGTCCATGGTTGGTTCTCTTCATTCTTACCTATCTTCCCTTTCCTTTCTTTTGCCTTTTGAAGAATGGGCCCCGAACTAAGATATCGAATTGAGAGTTTTTTTCTAAGAGAGTGACTTCGAGCACTGCAGATATTAGAAAGCTTTAAATACTTTTAATTGAGCTATCCAAATTTGCCTTGACTACTCTCCTTGCGATTTTTGAGTATCACTGAATTATAACTTAATTTGAAAACGACAACAGTAATGAATGGGATTCAGGTTATGTATTTCATCTTTAACTGCTAATTGACTTCACACTAGGATTTAAAAGGATCGCGATCTAATGGAGTTTAAGCTGGGAATTAATACCTTCAGAATGGGCATCATCAGCTCTTTATTTTTATTGCAATCATAGGATTCTAGGAGCGACGAACGTCTTTAAAATATTGTGCCAACTTCATCTGTTAAGATTCTCACTAAGCGACCCCACTTTAAGCAGAATATCTTCAACCAATGAATCCTGGTAATTCGCAAATTGAGAAACTCTGATCATTCTTTGATCCCCTTTGATTCAGTTTGACTTTGCATTTGTTCTGAAATAGAATACAAATGATTTCTATTTATAGATCATGGTTATTTCTTCGCATCAAATTGTTATAATAAATTTACTAAAAATTCGTGCCTTAAAAATTCTCATGACGAATTTGTGTTTAGGAAATATTAAGCAATCAAATGGTAAAAACTGCCTGGAGTTTAGCATAGATATATAATTTAAAATAGTACAGGGTTAAACGTTAATGAAAACAAATTATTGGCCGATTGATTGATAATCTACATCGCTACTAATTATAAGAATTTATGAATAAAGCGGTCTGTTTAAAGGTAAGCCTTGAGTATTTGCATTTAAAAATAAGGGTATTAACATTGAAAGAACTCACTGAAGGGCTATCGCAGTTAGCAGCATTTAGCCAGACTAAATTTGTGCTTCATAAGCTAAAGCACCATTTTATTTGGAAGTACACAGAATCGGAAATAATTTCACTATCGTCTAAATTTATACTTTGGCAATATCTAGAAGTTAATAGTCAATTACAAGAATATACGCAATAAAGAGGTTTTTACTTTTATGAGAATTTTAATTGTTAGAATTGATATTTTAAGATAAATATTTTGGCCAAATTTTACTCTGTTGCGTAAAATTTTCTACATATTTCATTGAGGGGGAGGGTATAAAAGGAAAGGAGCAATTCTCCCTACAGGATGGCAATTAAAACCGATTAAATACAGTAAACCTCTTGAATTAAAAGCAGCATGATGCAACATACTCTAAAATAGTTTTGCTTTATCTTTAATCTAACTAAAACAATTTTAAGAGAGCTTTTAAAATAATTTCTGATTAGTTTTGTTTAAATTCATTAGTGTTCAAATGCCTTGACCCGAAATAGCGCAGCCGATATTTAACGGTTGAGTCAGCCAGCAGAACGCTATGGCTTTTTGTAAAACCTATTAATGTATTTTACTGTAAATATACTACAATGTACGAAATTCCTTCCGTTACCGTCCACCAGTTGGCTCCGTGGTTATTTCACAAAGAACAGGTAATTTTCGCTTATTTCTTACTTCCCTTAGGTTGCTGTTTTAGATATCCGCTCTTTCAGGGAATACCATACAAGTCATATCTGCTCAGCATTGAACTTGGGCGGGAACCGAGCATTTAAACGGAGACTTTTGGCTCATCGAGTATGTTGCGAGGTTATGTTTTGATTTCTCTATTATAGAACGCTCTTGCGCCTTTTATTGCGCTCTTAGTCGGTGTTTCTGTTGAAAACTTGAGGAAATTCATAAAAATTGTCCTTTATGATCAAAATTCCGCTGAGCAGCCTTTTTTATACTCCGATAGTTTTACACAATTCGTTATCTCTGGGACTGCTGAGTTGTTCCCGAATGCCGTTCTTCTCCAAGGTATTTATTTTTCAAATTACATCACTAATTGTATATATTGTTCATAACCTGCGTGTTCATATTTATTATCAGGTGGTTTTGTCGGATTTTGTGCGGCCTATCCAGAACTCTGTTGGCAACACCCGGACAAGTTACCAGATGAGGAATTTGTTGGGGTTAAAGCGGATTCTGGTTTAGAAAATTTGCTTCAGGAGTGTTTATACAAAATTTACCATGAGATTCCTCCTCCAAATCCCTTCTCTCCTGGAGAAGTGTCCATCATCTCCACAAGACAGCCTTCTTCATGTTCCTCTTGTGGGTCATCCTCTTCCCAGCAAAGTTGTGACTCAGGAGTCGTATTGTCTGCATCTTCTGCCCTCATGCTTAACAGGTGAGACTTTGATCCAGGGTTGCTCTCCCGTGAAATCACTTTGTCAATATCTAGGCATGTGAACGCACGAATGCCTTTCCTTCTGCGCACATAGGTGGTGGTGATTGTGTAGAGGGACATTGTGATTCATACACTAGCACACATACTCGCCAAGTCCTGGTGTGTTGTGTATTTTGTGTAAATTAGCTTTCATACACTCCGTATTTGCTAACGCCTCTGTTTGTGCATTATACGCCCTTATATTGCATTAATTCGCAGTTCTTGTTTGGGATCTCTAGGTGATGAGCAGAATTACTTAATTGCATAGTCAGATATATTAGATTCCTTTTTCTTCCCTTGTCTTAGATCACCCTCACCCATGTCTAACTCTTGTTCACTTTGATACTGTTTTCCCAATAAATGGTTAGTTCGTTGACTAGTTCTGTTTTTGGACAGGAAGCATCAGTTTTCTCCCTTAAATTTCTCCTATTCATAGCTTTTTTATTTGTTTTCTTAGGATCATTCAATTTAAGATCACTTACGAATATGCCATAGCTAACTTTAGTGCTAATATATTAATAATGGAAAAGGTAGCGTTTTGCCTAATTTTGACCAAGCGTTGTTGAGATATCTCCTGATATTCGAGGAGGCAGTTCCACAAAGTCTTTATTTTACCCTCTCGCTTGTTTTTTTTGCGCACTTGTATGACTCAAGCCTCCTGTGTGCATGCTTCTGCATAGTGTTTTATGTTAGGCATGCAAAAGATACATAGAGACCTTGTGGGGAATAATATTCTGCCTCTCTCTTTCTCTCTCTAGGAAAGCAATTTCCCGCGTGACCTCTGCTCCAGTAAAGCGACCGACCACAGTAGTGGCCTCTTTCAGTGTTGACGATGTCATAATGACCGGCTCTTCAAGTCGTCGTCCGTCTAGACTCCGTCCGAATACCCTCTCCCTCTGCTCCCCCTCCTTTCCCACTTCTACTGCTTCAGCAACTGCAGTAAATACTTTGACAAGCAACATTCTGGATCGTCCGTCTCGTTGCACTTTCGCATCCTCCTTCCGATTTCTCTCAACGCCACCCCCATCCACGTCCTCACTCCAGTCTTCCCGACCATCTCCCACAGTGAGTGCAGCTCTCAGTGCGGAGGCGTTTGAATCTCCTCTCCCTACAGCCGTCCTGCCTCATCTCCTCATTGGTTGCCAAGCCGACGCCATGTCAGCTGAGGTCTGCGCCGATTTTGGAGTGACGCATGTTATCAATGTCTCTGCTGATGGAGAAATGTCACCTCATGTAGCTTCTTGCAGGTTCCTGAGGATCCCTATCCATGATAATGGCAAGGCTGATATCGTGCAGTACTTTGACAAGGCCTTTGCATTTCTTGGTAAGACTACACTCCATCTCTCTCTTTTTTGTTCTCTGACTCATGAATTGTATACTTGTTTAAAGTTAAATCCCCTCTTACATGGATGAGGACGTGCTGTTATGTCTCTTATTTCAACTCGGAAGTAGGTTATTAGCAATATTTTGTCAAGAAGTAAACGGAGTGCTTTAGAGGCGACTAAAAATAGACCTCTTCTCGGAATCATCTCTACTTGGCTTAGGTCTAAGTGCACTTACAGCTTAATCATTACTCGTTTTGTGAATTCGCATAAATTCCTCTTTGTGAACCGACAGAGTTGGTAGACGCCTTATTGATCATAATATCATTTAATCGCTTTAAGAAGCCTCTTCATCCTTTTAAGCAGTCTATGTCAGAGTAAATGACAATGAATGGCAGTGCTTTGAGCCTCTGATTTTCTGTCATGTGCCCTTCGAACTGCAGTGGCCTCTTATGAGGCATATGCGCACGGTTATTGAAAGTTCTAGTCATCCAATCCTGGCAAACGTTCATTTTGTGGTGCGCCCGGATCTTGATGACTAATCACGCTCTGGTTCGCTCTCATGAACGGTCGCGCGAACGATGTCGCTCGACTGTGATTGGCTCGCTCTTTTCATTTATTGGTACTGCGTAATCACGTAGTCCTGACAACCAGCAGGCTTTTTTCCACTGATTATTGTGCGCGCGTGTTTACCAGCGCATCATTGTCACGTGAACCATAGCTAGGCCTGGGCAGGCCAGACTCAGAATTCTCGTGATCTACGTAGATGCGCTCGGTTGGCAAACTGATATGACTACATTTGCCTTTCCGTTTCGATTTTGAGGAATAGTTGCCTTAGTTTACAAAAAAATAGCACTTTTTATTGGTCATGCAACTAGTAGTATATTCAATGATCCGAACGAATTCGGTCCTATACCTAATATCTAACTTCATTATCCAGTTAGAGAAGTCCCTAACCCATCAAGACAGAGTTTATCAAAGAGGAAGCCACTTGCAAATGATTTGTTGGCAAATTCGCATTCAGTTGTCTTTAAATCAATATTAACTAGTGTATTTTTGAGTGGATGTGTGCCTGTGTTCTAAATCCTCGTAACCTCTGATACTGCCCTGCTGCACTGCTGGTGAACGTAAATGGAAGGATCAACCTACAGAATGTTTACAAATTTAATATAATTGCTATCAAATTCTCGAAAGCGTATAGCAGTTTCCACAGTTCACTAACACTTTCAGTATCTTCTTTGTATTGGCTTTCAAGTAAAAGTCCAAAAATCGACATTATTTGATAAGATTATGACATACCTGCAGATCTAGTTGCTTCAAACCCAGCTTTCATTTGAATACAGTTTTCGACACTTTCTGGGACGTCCGACACCGTTTTATGTTAGTTTTGGTCTATGAAGTGTTGCGAAGTCATTTTTATGCAGTGTTAGTTTGTTAAAACAAGTTTGTGGGAGGCTTTTAACTTACTATTATTGAAACGCTTTAATTTGTAGACTCAGCGAAGCGATCAGGCGGTCGTGTTCTGATTCACTGTTTCGCGGGTATTTCAAGGTCGCCGACTCTGGCCATCGCCTACCTAATGCACAATCAAAGAATCACATTTGATGAAGCATACAAGTGAGTTCTCTAGCCCCCTTTTAGTCCATCTTTTGTTCCATCTCACTCGTCTCCTTCTTTTCTAGTCGAGTGAAGTTGCTCCGACCAAAAATCTCACCCAACTTCAATTTCATTGGACAGTTGACAGATTTCGAGCATCGATTAAATTTGTCCTTACCCTCATCCACTTCAGCAGCGGAGGTCAAGCGAGTTCTACCTGTCATCATCGTACCCACTGTGACCCCTACTCAGGCAGCAACCCCTGAAAACAAAGTCTCTGGTAAGAGTCTATCCCACTTTAGAAGAAATTATACGATCATCCACGTGTTCTATTAACCCGAATTGCTGTCTAAAGGCTCCGTTTTGCGAAGTTATAAGACTGAGTGGGTCTCTTGAGTTGTTATTTTTCTAATAGTCGAAGCATTTTTCAGAAAATGTGAATTTATCGTTAGAGGTAACCAATTTTAGAGAGAAGTAAAAATAGATCCACTCTTGTAATTTTCTCATATTGGATTGAGTCATGAGGCACGACTCTTGGTTGGCTCACTAGTCTACCGTGGACGCAAAATATGGAACGATACAAATTTGTCTTTTTCCCCCGAATAATATCGAAATTCACGCAGATTTATTTTTGAAAGTAACTCGAAACGGAGCAAATAAAGTTTGATATGCAAAGATATGAATTCGTATGGCTGTTAGTAGGAGTGCACTTTACAATTGACCTTTTGATAATTGGTGGGGACGCATTCGTGCTACCTTACTTTTACTTACAATGTCGGTGGTTCCAGATTTTTAGTCTTGAAAAGGTATATCGTCTGTACAATTTTGTACACTTTTCGAGTTTTATTAAAATTTAGTATTCCGAAATTCACGATAGTATTATTCGATCATAAGAACACGATATAATGATGTCTTGAATACTATTTTTGCTCTTGAATTGTCGTTTATTCTAACTTTGTTTCTTTAGAGAATACACCGAGGATAATGCCCCAGACTGCGACTTGTGCATCGGGTGTAACCGTTTCGACAATTACGATTCCCACACCGTCGACAATTTCTGGTCCAGTTCGTCCAGTGAGTCTTTCCTTGCGCCGTCCATCTCTAAAGCCCATGGTGGCGATTACATCGAAGAAACGCGATCGAACGCATTACCTCTCTCCCAACTCTGTCTTTTTCTCCTCTTCTGACAATTCTTCCCCAGGAGACGACGAGCCGCCCTTCACGTGTCAGGTCTCCAACACCCCTACTATCCTCGATGCTTCAACTTCCACCTCACAAAGCACCTTTGTTGCCCGTCGGAAACGCAGTCGATTTGGTCCTCTTCTACCTTCTCCCTCAACTGCTATTGCTAGTCTTGATCTTTCCTCCCCTACGGACGATCAGAATCCCCAGAGTTTGAATCCTTTTCCTTCTACGCCCCCTCCTCCACCGTCTCCACGACCTAGACGTCTGCGAAGATCCTCTCCCCATCGTTTTGACGAGACTCGACGTTTTTCTCTTTCCACCTTCTCAGATCTTTCTCGGGTTGCTTTAGCGGCCTGTGCAGCAGCTGTGACTTCATCAGCCGATGCGCCTTCCAGTGACATTGACAGCGAGATCGATATGGCCTCGTCAAATCCCACTATTATTAGCTCGGGGTTGCATAGTCCCAATGCCGCTCATTTGTGGTTGCTAGGGGACAGTTGCAGACACCAACAGGCCACAGCTGAATCCTCCTGTCATTCCAGTCTTTCTTCGTCAAGCAACAGTCAACACACACCTAGCTTTCCCATCTCCTAGTAGCAATGCGTTTTGTCCGTGTCTAGTCAAATAACGAAGGAATCTGATATCGCATTTGCCCAGTCTTACTTAACTACCTATCTGTTTTCCCTTTCTCAACTTTATGCTTATGGTTTCGGAGTATATATGTATAGTAGCCTATTTCACTTTGTGAATAAATATACCTTTAAGCTATTTTATCTGAAAAAAGTAGACATCTCATCTTCATGAACAGAAGGAAATGATTCCAAATTTAACTGTCCATTTTAGGCAAAAACTGATGGAGCAGACAGTTGCTTGTTTATGATTGGCTAATGATGAATGCTGATTAATCTTCTTTACGTCTATTGGTTTTCTCTTCGGTCCGTGCCTCGCAGTTACGTTTAACACGGCCGTTTACCCAAGTAACATTTTAACTCACAGTCTTTTGAGATACACTCTCAAACAAGGGCTTATTTTAGAGACCTATGAGATGGATTTATCACGTGCTCTCTTGAAATTTGCCTCGATTTAAGCAAAAAATTTGTACTAGTATAAACAGATGAATTATAGTCGTACTGTAATACATTGCATATAAAATCAGTCCTAAATAAATGATAAATTATGCACCTGTCGTCTGTTTTGAGCTAGGAAGCTCGAAAGTCTAGAGAGAGGGAAAACAGCGAAGCTTGGATCTATTTCAGTGGTACACCATGACTTACTTCGATTGTTTTGGAATTCCAATTCTCAGTTATTTTAAGGAAAGAGAATATACGTAACTGTAACTACACTCTAACAGTCAACAAGTAAATCTCTCAGCAAAGGGAATTCAGCGAATGAGAATTTAAACAAATAGACCAATGTGCCTCCATTTTAGAAATATTGCTGACATGAATCATCCACTCGAGACACGAACGTGCATGCTGTTTTCTGTTTAATGATGATGCAGCTGTCGTCCAACAAGTAAGAAGTCACGTGTTTAAGTATAATTTTTAGTTTCGCTTAAAAGGCGACTAAGTGCTCACACGTATACAAAATATACAAACTGCATAAATTATTTTTTTAAATTCCTTTCGTCGCTCAATTAGACTCACGCAAAATTAATTTGTGCCCTAATTAGGTATTATCACCTTATCACTTGTTAGTAGGTAAGTGAGGCTTTTGTATTTTTACGTTGTATAAATTAATAATTCAACCTAGTTTATAGATCAAAATCTGCTAACTTGAAGTTATATATCCTTAACCAACACACGTCAGAGACACCTAACGTTTAGGCGTTTTGGAATGAACATATATGCCATAGCAAAGAATTCACGCATGCCCTATTAATAAACATTCCAGCATGAAGTTACAAGAACATGTGGAAAATGGTCGATTTCATTTGAGCTACTTGATTGGAGTACGAATCGATATTCGAATGGAAGGACATTCAAGTGAAGCACACAGCTAGCAAAAAGTGAACTCTAGGTAAGAGAATTGTTTACATTAATGCATTTTAAAGCACATGGTCTGCAAAATTAATTTTTTATGCATTTTATTCCCATTTTGCTATTTTCTTTAAGGGATGTTCAGATATAACTTGACAAAAATGTAACCTAGTGAGGGACTAACATATGACTATTTTTTCTTGAAGATCACATGTTTCTGAGTCATTACACTAATTAAAATTAAAAACAGAGACCCTTGTTGGCTACTCTAAGATCGTGGGAAATATTCGATCAGTATGAGAGAGTTTCTGTCTCCATGACAAGTGCGTGTAGGATCTTGAAGTGAATGCATTAAATTGAGTTATTTAAAATACTCACATGGAAATCAAACTAATTTAACGACAGATGACTAAGTCAGGCTAGCTTCGTGTAGTAATATAATTACGAAAGTGGAGACTAATTAGGTGGGTAATTAGCATTAAAATCAAAACCAGGTGGGGCCTGGATGAGTAATAACTATCAGTAAGGATCTTCGCTGATCATTGCACTTAATAGACGTCAAAGATAATTAATCCCAACTACAATATTAGAAATCTTTTTGAATGTCGAATAGTTAGAATCTACGAGTTGTTGACATCTTCGCCTTACATGGTAAATATTACCTAATTACTAAGTTCAATATTGCATTGCTTGAGAGAAGCATATTTGCGAAATCGTAATTAATTTCATTAATACCATTATATTCCGATTCAAAAAGCGTTACTTATAAATAGTGTGTTCACATCAAATATAGATTTAATAAAGCGTCGACATTTTTGTTAAATTATTGAGTGTTAGCTGTGGTAAATAGGCGAAGTTCTTCATTTCTTCCTTGAAATGATAAGAGCAGAGAAAAGTCACTTTTGTAAAAAATAAAGATGTTGGCTTTAAGACCAATCGAACAAACAGGTCCATAGCTACAGGAGAGGAAATAATTTGTGGAAAGGGCAGGCAGATGTGGTCTTGGTGATCCCTCTGGTGGTAGCTTTTTTTCAAGGAGGTTCTTTGCATCGAACTTGATCCAAGTGTTGAGGATACCATTCTTAGTCTTTTACAAACATACGCCAAACAGAAATTTGATTCTGGAAGTCTTCAGTTTCCACTGCGCCGGAGGATCGGTGATCCTATGGAAACTGCAAAATCATATCCTTTCCGAATGCAGTTTGCATTTACCTACATAAGATTTTCGTTCGAATTCCTCAGTGGTTGGAAAATTACACTTTTGGGGGTGGGAAAACACAGCCCGTTTTAGTTTGTTGTACTGAAAATATAAATTGATATCTATCAATCCCTAAAAATGGCAAACAGGACAGCGATAAGCAGTTTTGAAGAGATTTTGTATTCGGAAGTACGCCTAAAAAGTATTTTCCTTAGAAAAGTCATTATTCACTTTAGAGAAACCGCTGAGTAATCGTGAAACAGCACACATTTACTAAATGGATTGGGATTGCTTCCTAATCACGTCAAAAGACTTCCTTTATTTCACTATAATGTAGCTGTTCCACACAATCTCTCACAGTTATGAGTAGAATAAGCATTGGCAAATCACGAATCGAACTCATGTGTTGATGAGAATCTAGACCACTTAATGCTCCAGAATTGAAATAACTGACGTCTGTATTGTGGTGTCTTTTTATCGATCCTCCTTATCCACCTCAGGTTCAGCTGCTTTTCTAGGGTAAAAACTGTCAAGGAATTTTTGCGCGCATTGATTACCTATGTCTATTTCGAATTCAAATTCATATTTTTAATTCTGTTAAGTAAAATGAAGAATTTGTCAAAGATAAGCTATAATAACAATTTAATTAAATTAGCTTATTATTAAAAAATATGTTCGATAGCATGGTGATCATCTTGCAAATTTCGGAGAAATGCCCAACTTTAAGGCATTTTCGTGCCAATGTCGAGTTGGTGGGACACGTCATCGCTTAATGCGTCATTGCATGCCTGCACGCCAGGATTGGGAGGTGCGGCCGTACAACTCTGTGCAGTGACCAATCATTAACCTCTGTTTGTTTAACCTAATCCGCCATCCTGATCATGATTGAGCTCCCTGCGTGTACACTGTCCGCAATATCCGTACCGAATAAACGCGCTCCGTGATACACGTCTGTTTCCTTCATAACGGGGCTATAGCTTAACTTGTTCTGGGAGTCTAGCTAGATGTAGGAGGATCTGCCATAGAGATTTCTGAGTCAGTCAGGCTTTACTAGCGTAGCAATCCGCTACAGGTTCTGTGAACTGTACCTATTCCATATAAGTTAATTAAGGGATAACACAAATTGAAAGTCATTGTTATTGATTACAATTTGGGTAATAATATGACAAATCTTCCTTAAAGCGTTTGTGATTTATGCGTAGGAAATAGCATATGCAGAAAATATGTGGCAATTTAGCAATGGCACATTTCCCCAATTCATTATATTGTCTGCTCTGGTGGTGCACATTTCGTTTATGTATTTAAAGTAGCGATCACAAAGTGACGACGGATCAAAGTTCACATTACGTGTGAAATTTGTGACTCACTTCTGACTTTGAACTGCCTCTCGCCACTTGACATTGCAGCCAAGATTTTCCATTCCCATATTCCATACCAAAACATTTGAGTTAACGAACATGTAGAAGAAACTTTTTCCCTCGAAATACTAATTTGTTTTCTTAGTTGCTAGCTGGAAAGCAGATTAAATGTGAGGGCAAGTGATAAAAGGTATTATGGGAAGTCGANTGTATACTTGTTATAAAGTAGCAAGGAAATGTTTGATTTAATACAATAACTCAAGTTATAAGTGAATATTTTGCCTTAGCTATCTAAACAACGAGGTAACAAACAACAATCACCTGGGAGGGGGGGGGGGTATTATTCCCTCAAAGAAACCGAATCGGTCATGCTCGATGTATATGATCATCCACTATAGATTTATTCGCTCGTGCAATACCACTACTGCCACCATGAACTAGGCTAAAATAGAACTCTTTATGCAACATTTGTAGTGGAAATGTTGCTATTTCAACAGAGACCAACGATGTGAGGGTAGAGATTAAACCCTATTTCATAGATATGACAAGCGGGGTCTGCGATAGACTTACCTCCAAACTACCATCGCCCCCACTGTATGTCATAGTCGACCCCTACCACAGTACTCATCTTACCCTTTCTGAGCCCTTGTGTCTGTCTGTTTCTTTTACATCTGTGAATCACTCTTCTATTCCCCCTCTTGAATTCTTCTCACTTTGATGTTCCTCCTACCCTCTGTGAAGCCCGAAGTCAACTAAAGGGCTAATGATAACTATCAAAACGCCTGCCATTTGTTATAAATAAATATAGATATGACAAGTAAAGTAAGATAAGAAAGGTGTCTTTGACAAATTCAACTCCACTTTCTCTATTTACAAAGTTTGGTCAAAGACTGATTGCGGGAAGAACATGGAGCACGATTCGGCTTTGTTTTACGCACATAATATGCTGTCCTACATGAAAGGAAAGTAATTTAATTACATCGATTCGAATCGAATAAAATACTCTCTGGCATAATTCCCTCATCCGATCTATCTAGTCCAGGAAATAACAAAAATCTT